AATTCTACATGCATTTGTGTCTCTTAAATATTTATACTTAATTATTTTTTATATTTTTCCCACAAGTCTTTAAATTTTAGTTTAAAGCAACGGCAAGGAGAAAAACTTACCCGTGCCTTTGTTTTTAACTAAAATTTAAACTTTAAGCTAAACTGAGGCAGCACACGCCTGCAACACATCGAAATAAAAAAGACTTGTGGGGCAAAACTATAAAAATATTTCAATTTAAACATTTAAGAGACAAATGTATGTGCAAGTAAAAAGTAAAACTGAAAAATATATATTTTAAAAACAGTCAAATTTGAAGTGTTAAAAATATCAATTAAACGAGAATTAAATTACAAAACATGAAGTGAAGTTATTTTTTAATTGAATTGGTGCATTTTAAGTGTATTTATTTATTTAGTGGTTCATTTATTTATTTCTGCTTTTATTTATAATTATGTCAGTGTTGGTCCTCCATACTGCAGAACATGGAAGGTAAATCAGTGACTGAATCAGGTGTGTTGGAGCAGGAAACGTAAAACATGTAGGACTGCGGCCCCCCAGGACCAGGATTGCCCACCCCGGGACTAGAGGTCTGAGATGGACTGAAGACAGATCACAGCTGTCCTCCTGCCCTCCTGAGTGGTTTTCTCAGTTATAAGATGTGGAAAACAGGTTTAATCAGAAATATACAAAAGAAACAAAGGTACAAATAAAAACTGCACATGAAGTTGGACTAAAAGRCAGAGATCTGTGTAACTTTTGGAGAAAATATTAAACATACTCAGTCGGTGTGTGCACTCTTAGCAGCATTCTTAAGAGTAATTCTAAGAAGTTTTATAAATATGGGCCCAGAAATATCTTTTAATAATAAAACAGGCCATATAAATATAAAAACCAATGCAAACAGTTTAATGTGTTCAGCTGATTTTACTGAATCAGATCATATCAACCTACCACCATTTCTTCCTCCTCCTCCTCCTCTTCAGGTGCATCTTCCTCCTGGTGAAACAAGTAAAGTTATTCTGGTTTGTTTCTGTTTGATTAAGAATAATAAACCATCAGATGTGAATATAACTAACATCTGAGTAAATAAATTACAAAAAAGATCAAAATATATGGAGGTTTATAAAGTACTGGTTGAATTTTTAATAAATTTAACCTAAATAAAAAAGGGGCAATATGTTGTTTAGCAGAAGTGATCATTTTTCTGAAGAGGCAGAATGAAACACACGGACACACAAACGATCATCAGTAATGTTTACAAACCTCGTCCTCAGGGTTTCCGTACGTCAGCATTTTATTCTCCAAAACCATTTTTGTAAAGTGAAATTTAAACAAATAACAGCGAACTGAAGCCTACAGCCCGTGTGTCCCTGGCTAAGGACGCGAGGTCGGTCACACACCGGAAACGACTAGAACTTGACTCTTATGGTTCCTATTGGCTCAAATGCTTTATTGACGTTTCATTTGTCCAATCAAACGCAGAGTTTGTGTGAAGGCCGCCCGTCAAGGAAGTGCGGAACTGTCTCGTGTCAGACAGGAAGYAGTCGGACCACAATCAACGTCGCACAGCGTGATGGAGTTGTTCTTGGAGCGGTCCAGGCTTTTACTGAGAAAAGTTAAAGGTTTGAGGATTTTGATCCCTCACCGGAATCGATACAAAGAGAAATGGGTGCGTTACCAACAAACAAATAAATGAATTAACTATTWGAGTTTATAAATAACAAATTATCCGCCCGCTTTTATTTTAGGAAACATTATTTCTTCGTTTAGTTGTCTTAGAGTGCAGATGACTGAGTTATTACTGAACAATTCAGTCACAATGACGTCTGTCAGGATCATTTTGTTTACAGAAAAAGATGGCTAAATGTAATCACTTCTAAGGATAAGAAACGTGTATTCATGCAATCACTTTTTTTCTTGTCTGCATATTTTATTATTTATTAAATTGTTGGAGGAACCGACGTTTTCTGAACCACTGAATTATAAATCAGTTGTGTTGGAACGATTCTGTGTTTTGAAACATTTGGTACAATCATGGAGGTGACATCAACTMAATGTGGCGTCCTCTACTGGGCAGCCTTCAACATGACAGCTGCCTGAAACAAAGYGTCAGTGTGATGATAAGGGATCAGGTTAATAAAGGTTACACATGCATCTTCATAATTTTGACTGTTTATTAGTAGTCACATATGGTACAATGTGAGCGTACTGCTGACATAAAATACTTTGTAAAGACGTAACCCTCTTTTATAGTCACTGAGRTGACCCAGTCTGTTCTCACTTATGTGGGTTTGTGACAAAACTTGTGTTGTTTTCCACTCTTAACACCTACTGAGACCCCATCTTGTGCATTGACCCCTTGACAGCACCCTAAACCAGGGCTACTTAACCTTTCTGACCTCGGGGCCCAGTTTATTGAACATAAAGTGACACGAGGCCCAGTCAGACATTACTAATGTATGGATCAAAATGATAATTATTATAAATCTTGGTTTAATTTTTATTGTATTTACATCATAACTAAACTACCATAACTAAATTAAATACACTTACAGTTTAAAAGTAAAACTCCTGTCAAATAATCACAAGACATAGTTTGAAGGAATGATGTACTTCAAAATGTGGTATAATCTGGAGTATGATATTAGAAGTGCAGGATCAGTGTATAAGTTTAGGAGAATGGTAAAATACAGTCTGTTTAAAAAATATGAAATAACATAAAATGTATCCTTAAAAATTGTCTGAGAAAGATTTTAGTTTTTTATTAATTTTTTTTCTGTTTTTTATTATTGTTAGAATTTCTTTTGATGTAAAAAGGCGCAGATATTATAATATTTTTCTTCCTTCTGTCGCCTTTCATTTTGTTTTTCATTTGCATTTTATGTATACTGAAATAGCTTTGTTTTTTTAATGAAATGAATGAATAAACTAAACTAAACATGATTATGACAAACATTTTTATATTGTAACCTGCCCATAACAATTATTTGAACAAATACAAAGGTC